GGCTGGGGGCTGAATGTTATTAGTAAAGACAAAGCAAAGAAGGAACAGAAACAAGCTCTCTTCCTCCTTCTCTCTTTTCTTTCACTGTGTCAACCTGCAGCCATTTCCCTAAGGTTGGTTTTCACTCCTACTTCATCCTACCCTGCCTTCCTAGATCCTCTGCAGAAAATTCCAGGAGAATTACTTTTCCTCTGAAATACAGATGAGCCTAACTGGTGGGAATGCAAAACAATACAGCCACTTGAGGAGACAGATTGACAGTTTCTTATAAAAATAAACATACTCTTACCATACAATCCAGCAATCGGGCTCTTTGGTATTTACCCCAAGGAACTAGAAACTTATGCCCACACAAAAACCGGAACACGGATATTTATAGCAGTTTTATCTATAATTGGCAAAACTTGGAAGCATACAAGATGGCCTTCAGTAGGTGAATGGATAAACAAACTATGATACATACAGACAATGGAATATTACTCAGCACTAAAAACAAATGAGCTATCAAGCCATGAAAAGACATGGAGGAAACTTAAAAGCATATTGCTAAATGAAAGAAGCCCATCTGAAAAGTCTACATACCAACTGTATGTATGAGCCACATTCATTCCTCATAGGCCTCATTTAATTGCTTCATACATTCTATTTAACACTATTTGATGCAGAAGATTTAGAGCAGTGTGATTCCAACTATATGACATTCTGGAAAAGGCAAAACTATGGGGACAATAAGATCAGTGATTGCCAGGAGTTTGGGAATAGGCAGAGCACAGAGGATTTTTAGGGCAGTGAAACTATTCTATATGGTGTTATTATCATGGATACATGTCATTATACATTTGTCCAAACGCATAGAATATACACCACCAAGAGTGAACCCAAAGATAAACTATGGACTTTGGGTGGTAAAGATGTATCAGTGTAGGTTCATGGATTGTAACAAATGTCCCACTCTGGTGGGGGATGTAGATATGCAGGAGATTATGCCTATGTGGGGGCAGGGGCTATATGGAACTCTCTGTACTTTCCAGTCAAGTTTACTGTGAACCTAAAACTGCTCTAAAAATATACTTAAAAATATGTAGATACAGATATATAGAGGAACCTTACTTCATACCTTTATATACATGAAAACATATTGTTAACCCAAGCCTGCCCAGGCTAGAGAGAATGGAGAGAAAGATTAAGGGAAAAGTTTTGCCAAAGTCCTGGGCTTGCTTCTGGCACAGGTGAGTAGGGCAAAGAGCCACAGGCTGTGTTCTGTTACTTAATGGACCACACAAAAAAAGACATTGGTCTGATCAGACACACAAGATGTTACCAGTGGTAGAGCAAGTAGCCTGGCTAGTCCCTCATGCTGGGGAAGAAAAAAGGGAAGGGGAGATGTGCTCCATGGTTGGAGGCCCAGTCCTCTGTACCACTCATCACTTTTCCTGCACCCTTCCATTGGATTCCTAGGCCTGGGCTTCCCAGAAAAGACTAGAAACCAAGGGTCACCTGCTTTAGAATCACTTGAAACTTTATAAATATTCATATTCTCAGGCCAACCTCCCAGAAAACCAAATTTGGTCATTCAGGGATAAGGTCCAGGGATCTGCATTTTCAAAAAGTTCCCAAGGCATTCTAATGTGCACCTAGGCTTCAGAGCCACCAAACCTCGCTGCTGAGGGGGCCCTTGTGCCTGCTGCCAGGAAGAGAAGGGGTAATTGCATACAAGGCCTTTCTCTTGGATACCAATTATTCACCTGTTGGCTTTACCATGTTGGTATTATCATCTGCCTGTTGTATATATACTCCCAAGGATCATCCCATCCCAGAAATTAGGGTAAGGTCCAGATTCCAGTCTTTCCATTATGCTCTAATGGAAAAAAGAGTTAAATTCCAACCTGCCTCTCTTTTTTTCTAGTCATTCATTTGACAAACACTTACAGCATGCCTCCTAATGTGCTAGCTTCTATTCTAGGGGCTGGGAATACAATGATGAACAGGCAGATAAGGTCCTTTCTCTCCTCCTGGTGCTTCTCTTCTACAAAAGGGAGAACTAAGAAATAAATAAGAAACAAAGATTATTTTGCACAGAAGAGAGGACTGGAAAACAAAACAGGGTGACGTGACAGTGAGTGTTACGAAAAGGTAGGGTACATGAGAGGTGGTAGGGTAATATTCTCTAAGGAGCTAACAGTGGGGTGAAGACTGAGTGGTGAGAAGAAAACATCTAGAGGTAAACACTGCAAGGACCACCAGCAGGAAGAAGGTTGGTGTTTCTGAGATTTTTCCAAGTCGGGGCTTAGAGAGTACCGAACAGGAGGAGAGGTGAGGTTGGAGAAGCATTTTATCTCAAGTGCAATGGATTCTGTAAGGCACTTGAAAGTGAAACTGACAAATTTTAAGCAGAGGAGTAACACGATCTGGCTTATATTTTAAAACAAAATCTTCTGGCCACTGCAATAAAAATGGATTGAAAAGGTTGGGGTTGGGCTGAATGGGGGAAGGGTTCAAGAGAAGAAGCAAGGAAAGCAGGTTACACTGGTAGTAGAGGCCAGAGCATATGGTGATTTGGACTGGGATAGAGGTGATATAAGTGGGAAAATTCAAGATCTACTTTGGAGGTAGAGCTGATAGGACTTGTTAATGGTTTGGATAAGAGTTGTGAGGAAAAGAGAAGAATCAAGGATGACTCTTAGAAACTTAGTTTTGAACCACTGAGTGAATGATGCAGTAGACTTAAAGATACTGTTTAGGAATGTTTGGAACACCTATTAAACAGTTAAATGACAAAGTAGAGTAGCATTAGATATGAGTTTAGAGTTCAGTGGTGAGGTCAGGGATAGAGATAAGGAGAGTGAGGAGCATAAGAATAGTATTTGACACCATTGTGGTAGGCTGAATAATGACCCCCCAAATATGTCCATGTCCGAATCCCTGGAACCCTAAAGGACCTATTGTTCATGAAGGCACTTAAAATACGTTTTTTGTAGGTCTCACACAACACCCAAGGTAAGTATTATTATTTTCCACTTAATAGATGGGGAACCTGATGCTCAGAGAAGTGGAATGCCTTGTTCCATGTCCCAGAACTGGAAAATGCCTGTTTCACTGCAAGGATGGGTAAAGAGTTGCACTGTGTGCTTTGAGACAGGTCCTTTGCAGCATACTGCCTTGGCTGCCAAAAACCTGCCCTAGAAATGCATTTCTACGAGGCCTGTCATTTCTTCGCCCAGCTCTGGCCTATTATTTTTCTGACCTCCAGACCCCTTGCCAGCCAATCACACCTCATGGCCACTCCTCAGCTAGTTTGTTAGCTCTGGGAGGGCTTAGTAGGGTCATCACATAATGAACAACCCCACATGCCAGGCCCTGTGCCAGGCACCTAACTTTCATTCAATAATCACAATAACTCTTTCCATTGTCTTTGGAGCGAGCTAGAAAGGCTGGATTACTGGGGAATGGAAAGAAGACAGGACCAGGAGCAAGGGGAGCCTGGGTTTAAGTCGGGTGGTGGGGATGGGGGGGTGGAGGTGGCGCATAGCCCTAACTGGGAGCTAAAGTAACCTTGGTTTGGTAATTTAGTCCTTTAAGAAAACCAGAAAGATTACACTACAGATGATTTCGAAACTCCCTCGAAGATACTTGTACAAGAGATTCTCTTCTTTCCCCATCTCTAGGGCTCCACTATTATAGGCAGCAGTCTGAACCAAGGGTGTAGTGACCGCCTGCCTGTTCAGCCCTGGGCTGCCCCTCAACTCCCTCCTTAGAGCTGAGTCTGGGCCGCGACTCAGCCAATTGCCCGGGACGCTGCCGGGATCCGAAGTGGGCGATAGGTCATTCCAGGATAAGGGAGAGGAGGCTCTGAAAAACTGCAACTCCCAGGAGCCCTTGGGGCGCCACTCGGCAGCCCGGGCATGGTGCATGCTGGGAGCAGTATATTGCCTCCTGCCGCGGCAGGCTCATTGTTAAGGCAGCTCAGGACAGGTAACCCGTGCGCATGCCCAGTCACGTCCCAACTAGTTCGGCTTCTTTCCTTCCTGCAGGATTCTTCTCTTTCCGGCCTCGCCCAGGCGCGCTTTTCCCCGCCCCACCCCCGCCCCCTTTTTAGGGATTTTGGAGGGGGCGGGACCTCTGGCAATCGCGTTCCCAGGGGTGTTTACACGCGCGTTCATGGGAGATTAAAAAGGGAGGGGACCAAACATTGGATGTGGAAGGTGGCGAATCTAGGAGACCGCGGCTAATGGAAGGCGCATGCGTTCCAGGGGCGGCGCTGCAAGGCGTCGGGAATCACGGAGGGGCGGGGCGGAAACGGGCTAGTGAACTGACGCACGCGCATTGGGCCGCCAGCGCCCCGCCTCCTCCTTCAGGTTTCCTCTCCTCCTCCGCCACTCTTCCGGAAGTGCAGCCGCCCTCGCGCCCACCAGCGGCCACCCCCTGCGGCAGGCACCGCCCCCTCCCGGCTCCGCCCCCCAGCTCTCCGCCCCCTCCTCCGGTGGTGGCGCCGGCTTGCAGCCCGGGTCGTGGCGGTTTCGGTGCCCCAAGCCGGGAGCGCGGAGTCGTTCCCGGACCGGCGGCCAGGCTATGATCGCGGGTCCCCGGCGTCCCGCTCCGGTCACCCAGAGTCCCTGTCTCAGCTTGTGCCCGTACCCGAGCGGTCTCCTTAGCCCGGCCCCGCGGCGCGGTTGTCGGCGGCACCCCCGGCGCGCCCCCTCCTCCCGATGGCGGCGGAGATCCAGCCCAAGCCGCTGACCCGCAAGCCCGTCCTGCTGCAGCGGGTCGAGGGGTCCCAGGAGGTGGTGAATATGGCCGTGATCGTGCCCAAGGAGGAGGGCGTCATCAGCGTCTCGGAGGACAGGTACGGACCGCCGCCCCTCGGCCGCGAGGAGGGGCGGGACGGGCCGGCGGTCCCGGAGCCCACGTCCCGGGCTGTGCCTCCACGTCGGCGCAAGTGTAGACATACTCCCCCAAGTTTTTATTATAATACGCATCCTGGTGGTGCTGGTGTCCAGCTGAGCTCCGCCGCCACTGCGTGGCTCTGGGAAGCGGAGACCAGACAGCGGCGTGCGCTCTGGCCTTGCCCGGGGCGGGTGGCGCAGGCCGGGCCAGGGTGGTCCTTGGACTAACTGTGCGCCGGCTACTGGACCTTGGTCCAGCCCTAAGGACGGGAGGGGAGGAGGGTGGGGCCGCCCAGCCCTGCAGGTGTGTGCGTGGGGAGGATGCTCCGAGAGCCTTTGCTAGATAACTAAGGGTTTTGGAGTACTCTGGTACAGTTCTTAGGGCTCCAGACGGAGAGTAAATGCCACTCCCTTCTCCCAGACCGTCCCACCGAATCCAGATCTCCTGTACATCTTACACTGAACTCAATGAATATTGCAAGTTGTGAAGAGAGTATAACTTTGGGCTTCTGCCCGAAAGGAGAGGTGCCCTTCTCTTCTTTGCTCTCATTTTCTTATTTCTTCGAGCTCAAGGGGAAGCGCCTAGAACTTGCAAGGGACCACTGCTGCAAATAGCTCTCGAGTTCCTTCCCTTTGCTTGCTTCCTTTCTTTTTGCTTAATTTTGCTTAATTTGCAGAAGTGGAGCCAGTTGTTCTGCCATTAATAATTTCCCTTGTTTTTCAGACAATAGCGTTTGCACTTTAACTTAATTCATTTAATATGCAGAAATTAAGCCGATGAAGCTGATTTCCATAGGAATGATGCTTGAATATAGTAGTTATGGTATTTATCTAGAATTGTTTCGATAATACCAACTAGCGTTCTAAAAAATGTAACACTATAGAGGTATATGACAAGGGGCTTTTACCTTAAAACAGTAGTTAGGTTTTCTTAATGTAAATTCAAATTATGCTGAGGTAGAGGATTTTTTTCTCTGTGACCAGTACAGTTGCGGGTAGGGGCAAAGCAGCAACGTGTTCATTACTGTCTTTATAGTCATTTCAGCACTTTGTATGCAGTGTGGCCTCAAAAAAATTTGCCTGATAGGTCTATTCATATGATGGGTTCTTCAATATAACTAAGATGAGTATATTAATCATACGTGTTTGTCTACATCATACTCCCTACAAATGGCCAAAAGGTGCTCTATTCATTTCCTAGATCCAATGGGGAAAATTGTAAACATAGGCCAGTGGCAAGCAGTCTACAGTGAACAGAAGAAATACATTGCTGAAATGGAGTACATGCTTTAAAAACCTTTTGAAATTCACAAAGAAGTTTATAAATGTTTAGTTTTTTGATAGAGGCAAAATTCCATTAAGGAGATTGCTTCTGGACCTAGAAATTTGTTACGGATTTGTTTCTAAAGGGATATATTGATGTCACTTTCCCAGTCTATAACTGCTGTAGATGAAACTGCTGAACCTAACTGCTGTAGGAAATTCATAAATAAGTTTGTTGAGTCAAGTAAATGAAGGAGAAAGGTGGTTAAACTTAAGCTTCTTTCATACTAGTTTTGAAACTTTTTGCTTTGGTTGATGGTTTGGGAGTAGAGGTTAGTTTTCAGGGGTTTTTTGTTGTTGTTGTTGTCTTAAGAGTTCAGAGGGATTTTAGAGGTTATTTGCTCTAACTGCTTCATTTTATGGATGAGAAAATTTAGGCCAGAGAATTTACCTGCCCAAATTCAGGTAGCAGGTGGTGAAGCCAGGCTTAGCTCCTGAGTCTCCTGATTCCCCTTCTAGTGTGTTTATCTTGAAGGAAGCAGCTTAAGTAGGATGCATTTCAAGGTGTTTGGAGAAGCTGAAGTAGCATATATGAAAGAAACTGAAAGATAAATCTCATTTGATTACAGGACAAAAATGTGATGTTTAGCTATATAGTAGCTTAATTTTCACTTTTCTAGTCTACAATGTAAACTAGAATTATTTTATTAAACTAGGAATTATTTTATTATAGAGTTAACTGTTAAATAAATAAGGCCCACCCATAAGTCCAGAATTATTCTTTACATATATTTTACTAATACTCAAATTGACAAATCTGTGTTTCCATGCTCACAGGTGATAATAACTTTGTTATTTAGAGCTCAGTTTTGATTATGGTTTTCATTAAAAGAGAATTGATATGTATTCTTTCAGAATCCACTGTCAATGCCATTTGACATAATGCTAAAGATATGAAGATAGAATATTGATTTTCATCAATACATACAAAGCCATTTCCATTAACTGCTTCAACTAGAAACTAATAGTTTTCATTCCTGAACTCTAAGGTTAAATCACAAATAACGTCCTATCCTGTCTGGCAGTGTCCTGGAAGTTCTTTGGAAACCTGGTTTCCCTTTTTGACCTCTGAATCCAGATAGCCTTTATCTAACCTTAGAAAACACTTAACATTTTCTATTTTAAACAGTATTGTAGATACTTACGGTCCAGTCATCTTCTCCACCGCAAGGCGTCGGGAATCACATGGGTGATTTCCCACGTGTGTCTTATTATTGTAGTATCTTTAGGGCCTAGCAAAGTGCCTGACATTTGTTGTGTATCAGTGTCTGATATATTTTTGTTGTTGTTCCTGAAAGCATCTTAACTATTATAGGCATTTAGTTGATATTTGTTGATTGACTTTTATGACAACCTATTAAAGCCCTGTGTGGACAAATGTGCACTTTTGGGAGGAGTGGACTGGGTGGTCTTCAGGGTGCCTTAAAACTTTGAAAGTCCATGCATTGCTTCATTCATTCCATCAACAAACATTTACATTTCTGTTGTGTTTGAGCACTTGCGCATACTGCATTGGTGAAATGGCAAGATCCTTTCAAGATACAATTTAGTGGAGGGGGGGTAGTTTTAGAAGATAATAAAACAAAACCACAACCTCCAAGATTTAGTATTGAAAAGAGAATTTTTGGATGGGGGAGAGTAGCCGGATTCCATAGCCCTTATTGTCTCCTACATTTTATCTTCTTTTGGGGGATTCTTTCACTTGGATTACCATTTTCATCCTACTGCTGCTGTTAGTAGAGGGTTGATAATATTCTAATTGTCAGGCCAAAGAGTCAATAAAAACCCTCACCCTCAGTTTATCTTAGCACAGTTAGGACAGCCTGGAACTTTGCTGGATACCAAGGAAGGAAATATAAGGGAACATAAGAAATATAAAAACAATCTGTTTTCAAAGTTCAGATTTCTGGTGCTATCATAGTACAGAACTTGTTCTGGGAACTCCCTGGCCATTTCTGAGATTGTCTTTGCTTTGCGTATAGCTAGATTCTGTCTCTAGGGGACATACCCACCTTTGGTACTTTGGGTTCCTCATGTCCTAGCTGCCTTCTGGACTGTCTTTTCTGAGTGGGTGCTATCTTAACATTCCTTGCTTAGGAGCTTCATACGAGACATCTTAGCTTGATTTTGATTAACACTGATATCTAGTCTGCAGCTTCCCAGGGGCTCCCTTGTCTTGTGATCGCCTCTTCTTCAGTGATGAAGGCCAGGAGAGACCTCTCTCCAGGTGGGACCCAACCCCATCACGTTTATATATTCTTTATATGCATATTTTAACACAAGTCAACAATCTTGGCATTCAAACAGAGAGTTTTAGTAACTCTGGGTAGTTACTAGGGGGCAATTAAAGGAAACTGTTCCTTCACCAGGAGTCTGTACCTTCACAGTGGGTAAAGGGGGGTCCGTTTGTGTCCGTGTGTGTCTTCAGCACATCTCAGTATAAGGAGATGTGCTGAAGACAGGTACAGACAACGTCCTCTGGGGTTACAGAAGAATCTCTGCTCGTGGTGGTTAGAGAAAAGGAGTGCTCCTATAGATGGGTCTTGCAGGATGACTAGGAGTTATGTGAAAAAGTGAGGGTAAAGAGCATTGTAGGTAGAGAGGGAAAAGAAAACTCTCATTCATCGAGAAGCACTAGAATGGACTGGTTAAGAGTATAGATTCAGGAGCCAGTCAGCATGAATTCAGAACTCAGCTCCGAGTGATTTGAAGAATCTGGAAAATTAGTGTCTCCAGAGGAGTGACTTTGAGTGAAACTTTCTAAAACCTCTAGGCACAAGAATTTGAAATTCTTTTCTGGATAAAAAGATCCAAGGCTGTGGTGGTGGGGTGTTGGGGAGGAGGCTCTGATGGGGGTGGGGGTGGGGGAGGAACTGTTGGGGATGAGTGTAATGGAGAAGGGAGTGTGGGGGACCTACCACCTTATATTCTAATTTAATTCAGGACCAATTTATGCAGCATAGTTAGGGTTCCCTGTAATCCCTAAGGGCAGACAGAACCCCACTTCCCCTACCCCCCAAGGATGGTAAAAGAGTCAGATTTTTATCTCCAAATGAGGAGATCTGGTCCCTAGTGCCTGACACAAGGCAGTATATATTCATTGAATGAATTATGCAATGGCTGATCAATCACCAGTTTGGAATGAATTGGGCCTGAGGAGGTGGTGAGTTTCCTGGAGCAATGATAGAGCAAAGATATTTGAGATGAGTCTGAGAGAAACTTAGTAGCTTGCTTTCAACCAGGGTAAAAATACAGTAGGGGATGGGGTTGGGAAGGGACTGGGACAAGAGAAGGGTTGGATATTTTTTTTTTTAATCTCTAAGGTGTTTTTTGTTTTTTGGGTTTTTTTGTTTGTTTTTGTTTTTTAAATTCTGAACTACTCAATTCTAAGTGGTCATGACTACTTGACTATTTCTTGAAAAGATATGTTAAAATTTCACTTATTTTATAAATCCTCATGCTCTTGGTTGATTTACCATTGGTTCTTATCATTGTGAATTGCACTATCTCAGTTCTCTGAGAACCATTGTTTCACTAATATTTAGACCTTGGCTCAGTTCAGCTGAGTTCCTGGTAGTTTTATGCACCGTGTATTTTATAACATTTGCATCAAAAAAATATTTTTGAAAATGCAAAT